AATTCCAGAGGTGCCCACTGGCTGAAAAAGGTTGGGAACCCATGCCCTGGATGAAATTTCCACTTTGGAAGGAAGACTCTATGGCATCACATCTCTGTTGAACTTCTAAATCTCCGTCCTCCCAAGCCCTGCCTCTAAATCTCCATGTATTTCCCAAGATGGAGCTGACAAGCCTGTATGTTATTCTAAAGATAGATTGATCATCTTGTTATCTGTAGAAAGATCCTGTATGAAATTTGTTTCTACGCCTGGTAGCCATGACTTATTGAGAAAGACTTCATTGTGGAACTGTTGCCACAAAGACTTTGTATTATCCCAAGTATCCTGGGGCAGAAAATCTCAGGGTACAGCAGGAAATTATCTGCTATACACCTCTTTGAATGAATTGTTATGCTCTTGTGCAACACCTGTAAATTTCAGTGGAGCTAGTGCAGGATCCCTTCCCAGAGGATCCTGCCTTTTAGGCAGCCTTAGATCTGAAACAATAGTCTTACCTTGCATCTTGGTAGGTCTTTCTATGAGATCCACCTTGCCATAGTTCTAAGGTCTCTGTAATTTTTGCCAGTTAAATAATAGGAAGCAAACAGGAGTAAATAGATGACTCTCGCAATAGAGGAAAGTAAACAAGGAATCTGTATTGGAACCAGAGCTATTTAAACATAACAACTTATCCGGAGTAAGGGTGAGCAGTGACGTACAATGTTCCCTCTAAGCTGTGGAGTCCTGTGAGCAAAAATTCCACTTTGTGAGCTGCTGGCATTAAAGTTGTGAGTGAGCCATTTGGCTGCTGCATAAATTAGTTTACTCTGGAGCCATTCTTCCTGAGCTAAGGCAAAAATGTGTGAGCCGGAGGCTAAAAAACTGTGAGCTATCTCACGCTGATTCAGCTTAGAGGGAACACTGGTGACGTATCCAGGACTATGAATTAAATCGAATTATGTTGGATGAAAACTGAAGCAGACTGCAAAGCGCTATAAAAGCATGTCATGTTTGAACCACATGTCATTGGTAGGTGTTTGAAATGGGATACTAACCTGGTCCGCACTGCATTTTCTGTGACACTGTTACCTATATTATCAGCTTCATATAAGCCATCGCTTAGCTATCCTGCCATTAGTTGGTAGAAAATGATGAATGTTTCTTCTAGAACAATGTGGAAGTAAGCATGATGCCAAGTCAAAATGTGTGGCAGGTTTACATTATGAAGTTATTTAAACACATGGGCTCATCTCTTTCACTGTAGGGAAGCATCCTCTGATACCCTCACTAATCTATGATACGGCTAAACTGGAGTTTTCTGTGTAAGCAAGGCATCAGAAAACTGGCAACCATACTGAGACCTAAGCTTTCCCTAGGTTATTGGGGGGGTCATATAATTTTATTCCTCCTTTTGAGAAGAAGAAGAGGTTGGATTTATACCCCACCCTTCACTCAGAGCAGCTTACAATCTTCTTCCCTTCCTCTCCTCACAACAGACACTCTGTGAGGTAGGTGGGGCTTCGAGAGCTCTAAGAGAACTCCTCTGGAGAGAACAGCTCTGAGAGAACTGTGACTGACCCAAGGTCACTCAGCTAGCTGCATGTGGATGTGTGGGGAATCAAACCCAGTTCTCCATATTAGAGTCTGCCATGCTTAACCACTACACCAAACTGGACTTCAGGGCTAGTACCAAAGCATTGATTTAGCAACACGGAAAAAGTGTTATTGGTTCGTCCCCTTTGTTAGACTTTTAGGAGTCCTCATTAAACTTTTCTCCTATGTGTAGGGGCCAGGTAATCAAAGCATTTCTGCTGTGAAGGTAAAAGAGCATCTTTTCATGTATGTTGCTACTATAATTTTATCATTTTATACTGGTATAATAACATAACCTATCAACACAATAATCAAGAAAGTTTGGCATTGTTTTCACTTGCATACAAGGTTCACTTTATACTTGTATTCTAAGTTGTGCCCACAAAACCTTAGACATGTGCAACTGAAAACAGAGCATAGGAGACAAAGAGTAATATGTATATCCTGCTAATGGTTTAGGGAGACAATTGCTCTTTCCCCCCAAGCCTCACGGAATCCTGTCCAATGACTTTGCAGGCCCCTTGCTGTCAGCAGTGGGTTCTTAAAAATACTCATGTGCACAGGGTGTGCACCTTATGCTGTCCTTTTGGATCCTGCTGTAATGTGCGCATACAACTAATGTGTGGTGTTCTTTTATGAGTGTTGTATAGAAACCTGTGCTAAGAAATGGGATTGGCTGTGAATTCTCAGAACATGTAAATATAGTGGCTGCCACATGCTTACTGCTGGGTAATGTAAGGAACCCTTATAAAGGGTATGCTTTTTGGAAGGGGGTGAGGAAGTACTTTTATTTTGAAAACAGCCCTTATTGATACTGAAGCCAACCCTCTACAGTTTTGCTTTGTCAATGGGAATAGGATGCAATAGGATGCAATCAAGTCATAAACAGTATGGTTTTCACCCGTGATATTTCAGAAGGTTGAAATGCCCCAGCAAGAGTTCTTTGTTTGGTCTAGTGCCTTTATTTATTTTTCTCTTCCACAGAAGCTCATTGTTTGGGTGATTCAGAGTCTTACTGTGTTGGGAAGTGGAGGGGTGGGTGGGCACAGGTTAGAAGGAATAACAACAATAGAAGTGGGAACCTATGGCTTAGCATGCTGCATAAACATGGATTGAAACTGAAAGCCAAGAACCTGTTTTTAGGAAGCAGAAATAATAGGCAGCGGGAGCATGAAACCTTTTGTTTTGTTTTCCAGGCAGGAGGGAACTTTAATTCACAGCAAGCTTCGCCCCCAAAGGGGGGGGGGCTAGGAAACAGGAAATGATATTTACAAGAAACCCTTTGGCTTTGCACAGGTATAGAGACAGGCAAGCAGTTCTGGAGAGAATGGCAGGTTCCAGGCAGCTGCATGTTATCTGACAAGAGAGCTAGGGAGACTAAACCTCATTGGCATTCTGCAGGGGCAACTGAAGGGAATCCAGCCATCAAACCACTTGAGCTGTCAGGAGCAACACTGGGGTCTTTTCACCACAGGCTTCGCACAGAGAAAGAGATTTAAGCCACTGTAGTAGGGAATGCAAATCCAGCACTCTGCACTTCAGTGTTCAAGAGAAATCCTGCCTTACGAATCCAGCCATTTATTACTCGTGAGGGCCTGTGTTTTTCATTTTGAGTTGGTTAACTGAGAGAAGCCCTTCATCTTATCTACTGCATCTGGACAGCTTCAGAGTGCTTTCTCTGGAGGAAATGGCTTTCACCTCATGGCACATTTTGTCCCCCATGCAGTGGGCGCGCTGGATGTGGACAGCTGTGAGAAGCAACGGAGACTACAGTCTCCTAGCCATGCAGCGAATCCCTGGAAATAGGCAAGTCAGTCCTGTCATTCAGGAAACTGTCACCCCATTAAATTCATTTTATCAAGGACCAGAAGGAAAAGCTGCCATTTGACCAGCCGATATGCTTGCTTAGTAATTTTCAAGCCAATCACATTGTTTCTCTATATATTTTTGCTTGGATTGTATTTTTTTAAAACTTTCTTATAGTGTTTAATTTCTGTTTGGTGTTGAAGAAAACAAACCTCTCTAAATTTGTATTTTAGAAAGAACATATACTCAAATGGTAGTCTTTTTTTTTTTTTTACTTCTTCTTTGCAGATATTTGGTCTTCCTCTTCCCTTCCCCTTAATCCTGCATATTATTATTTTAATAGATGTCTTCATTCTAGCTTGTATTTTTTTTACTGTTTTATCTGTTTTGCATATTATTGTCAATTTGTGCTTGATTTCATCATGTTCCTTCTGGTTTCTTATATATATATATATATTTAAAAAAAATAAGTATGGGATAATGTATACAATAGAAGTGTGGTCTTGGTAAACTATACAGAACTCTTGTATTCAAAATACAAACTAATACTTGGCTGGAAAGCAAACAATTCCAGAAGGCCATAGTGGTGCCATTTAAGAGTGGGGGGAGGGCGGGGGACTCCAGGAGCAGGGAGAGGCAAGAATCAGAAGGTTGAAGATTTGCTGTGGAAATATGGCAGGTTTAAACTGCGGGGAAACGATGTGCATTGAAATCATTTATTATAATTTATATATTATAATTTAAACTATTATAATTACAGTGATCACATCACTAAAGTGCAATCAGGCACCCCTCCCCCACTTAAAAATAATACCTAATACTAATGCCTTTTTAAACAATAAAACCAGTTACCTGCCATAAAAAGTGGCATGTTTTGTGCCCGGGTAAAGGGGTGGCTGTGGCTGAAATGCAGGCTGTGGAAGGTCAGTAGTTTAGCAGTTGGAGACCTGAGTTGCCTGATGATGAAGTGAGCTCCCGTCTCTAGTTCCAGCTCCTGCCAACCTAGCAGTTCGAAAGCAAGAAATTGCAAGTAGATAAATAGGTACCACTTCGGTGGGAAGGTAACAGTGTTCCGTGCACCTTGGTGTTTAGTCATGCCGGCCACATGATCACGGAAACGTCTTTGGACAGCGCTGGCTCTTCGGCTTTGAAACGGAGATGACCACCACAATCCTAGAGTCGGACTCGACTGGCTTTCGAGCAAGGGCACTTTTACCTTTTAAAAGGGGTGGCAGGGGGACTTGTGTCAGTTGTTGCCCAAGGGTCCCATGCCACTGCCTATAGCCTTGCCCCCTTTTGCTGGCTGTGGAGCATTAGGCAGGTTGGGAGGTGGGGCTGAGAGACTTTACAATAAGTGGCAACCAGGCCCCCCCCCACTTTAAATAACACAGGAATTCTTTAAATTTGGTGTGAGTACCTAATAGTAAAACATTTGCCCATTAAATCTAGAAATCGTGCTGTAAAAGAAGCTCTGCAGTCATTCTTTTTAAAAAATGCTTTTTAAAATGCTTGGCTTCCTTACATAGGAAAGCTCTGCATTTTACAACTTCTGTTGGTTTGGTCTGCCTTCCTGTATCTTTTTTTTAGTAGCCTTTTTTTTTTGTATTTTGTATTTTGTTCAGGAGTTCAGATTCTGAAGAAGCTTTTGAAACACCAGAGTCTACAACGCCTGTAAAAGCCGCACCTCCGCTGCTACAAACACCGCCGGAGGCTCCGACGTTTGATGTAGAAGAACAGGAAATAAGGCCTCAACTTCCATCTGAGGATACAGGTAACAAGTGCACAGTGAATCGAATGCTCCTCCTCCTCAGGAATGAATAGGAAGTAACATTTCAATGTTAGTTTTCATTTATTCAGTCTCACAGGAACAAAATGCGCTCAGGAGCTGATTGTACTCTGCCTTGTTTTCTATGCGACTGACCTGTAGAAATAAGGAGGGAAGTCTAGTTCAGTGGCATTTTACTGGCTGTGTGTTAAGTGTCCAGATGTGCAGTTTTAAATACAGGATGGATCAGTGTCCAGAGCAAATCTCAACGTAACCTCAGTCTCTTCAAACAAATCGGTATTGCTGTCTCTTCATTCTGTCATTTCAGAAGAGGAGGATTCCAACCTTTTAGGGCTGCCAGCCTCCAGGTGGGGCCTGGGTATCTCCTGCTTTTACAATTGATCTCCAGGTGACAGAGATCAACTCCCCTGGAGAAGATGGCTGCTTTGAAGGGTGGAATCTATGGCATTGCACCATGCTGAGGCCCCTCTCCTAACCAAACCCTCTCCTAGATCCACTCCACCCCCAAAGTCTTCAGGTATTTTCCAAACCAGACCTGGCAACCCTACTCAAAGGCAATTTAAAAGTTGAATTGTATATCCTCTAAGAAATTATTTCTACCTTCCTGATCGGGACTCCCTGTGTAACAAAAGTCTCCACAACAGGGCTGTGAGATTCTGAAATGAATACTCACATGTTTTTCCCGTGACATCCCACAGTGCACCTTTTTGATGACATCATTGCCCTCAGGGGATCAAGAAACTTTAGAAACCTGTTCCGTTTGTGGCATTTAAGTTGAGAATGGGTTTATCGAGCAGTATAGTAAGTCAGTGCCGCTCTTTTATAGGATGTTGTTGCTGATTAAACAAGATGGCAAGTACACACAGAAAAACGTGATGACTCAGGAGCAGTTTGTTTATTCTCCAAGGGGTGGGAAGGGGGCTCTAATTTGTAGAACAAAGGCTACATACCAGTAAAAGGAATGAAATCGCCCAGATGGCAACGCGGTGGTGGTACAGTGACAGTGACGGCTCCTACTCAAAAGCCTGGCGGAAGAGCTCCGTCTTGCAGGCCCTGCAGAACTGTATAAGGTCCCGCAGGGCCCTGATCTCCTCCGGGAGCTCGATCCACCAGATAGGAGCTGCCCTAGTCGCAGCATATTTGACATCTCTAGGGGCAATTGTGTGATCTTTTTAAAAAGAATGGGTAATATCTGATGAATCTCAGAATGAAGATATAGGGGTTGTGATACTGAATAAGATCTGTAGGAGGGGTAGATGCAGGCTAGTGTGCAGCATAGATGGAATTATTCAAGAAAGTAAATATGAGCACATGGTTAATTTGCATAATTTATATTGATCATAGAATTGGGATTATTATGTAGGTTTGGCTAGCCATAGAATTTTTATATGTACAGGGAATTGTTAATTTTTAAATCCAACCTGCTTTTTCCTCTGACTAGAGGGGACCCAAGATCAATGCTCCCTCTAAGCTGTGGAGTCTTGTGAGCAAAAATTCTACTTTGTGAGCTACTGGCATGAAAACTGTGAATGAGCGATTTGGCTACTGCATAAATTAGTTTGCTCTGGAGCCATCCTTCCTGAGCTAAGTCCAAAATGTGTGAGCTGGAGGCTAAAAAACTGTGAGGTAGCTCACACTAACTCAGCTCATAGGGAACACTGCCCAAGATGTTTTAAAACAGCAGTGATCAATCAATATTGACTAAAACAATTCAAACATTCAATTTGAGATCTATTCACCTATCCTAGTTCTGCTAAAGTACAGAAGTATAAAAGATTATATCTCAGAACGAGATTAGTGAATCCTCGTGTGTGTGTGTGTGTGGGGGGGTGTATCCTCAGTTTATATTTCTAGGACTGTTGAGGAGAAGGGCTGTTGGTCCAAACCGTGAAGTACTTTTTACCAACAACATTGTCCTGGAAGAATTTCATATGAATCCAAATCTTTGTCTTCATTATTAGGTTTGCCGGTAGCTTATTAAAATCAATCCTATCCCAGAGAAGTCCTTCCAAAAGGATAGCCATATTAGTCTATTGCAGCCAAGGAGAACATAAATCAGGTAGCTCCAAATTTATTCCAAATTTTGTGAAAAAGCTCACTTTGGCAGCTGTCACCTTCATCTGACAATGCAAGCTCTGACTCAGAAAAGCCTATGCTGGAGTAAACTTGGTTAGTTTAAAGGTGACCACAATAGTCCTGTGACAAATAAAAAAAATAGTAACAGCATCTCATAGCATTTTCATAGCATAATCCACAGTACTAGTAAGTGAAAGAACGTGATTTAAAACATTAAACTATGATAAAGGCTTGGGGTTGCCAGGTCCCTCTGGCAGGGGAGGGGGGAACTTACTGGGAGCAGCTGGGTGGCTCATCCGACATACAGTGACATGTCTACATCACTGCCCATATGACCCAGGACTGACATGATCACATCCGGGACGTTGGGGTGATGCTCTGGTATCTGAGCAAAACTTTTGTGGTAAATTTGCCTTCTACCATAGAGTTTTTGCCCAAATACCAGAGCATCACCCCGACATCCTGGATGTGATCATGTCACTTCCAGCTCACATGGGCAGTGATATAGACATGTCGCTGCACGTCAGATGGATCTCCCTCTTTTTCAGGGTAAGTTCCCCCCTACTAGCCAGTTGATCAGTGATGGGGAGGTGGGGCCTGGCAGTGAGGGTCCCCCCACCTCCACCGAGGGTCTGACAACCCTATAAAGGCTGTATTTCTGTGCATACTTACTAGGAAGTCACTCAGTGAACACAGGAAGTGGCATAGAAGTCAGACTATTGCTCCATCTAGCCCAATGCTGTCTATTTTGACTGGCAATGGAATCTTCTGGCTTATAGGCAGAAAAGGGTCTTTTCCAGTACTTGCTACATTGGATTCTTTAACTGGAGGGGCTGGAGATTCAATTTGGGGCTTTTGGTTTGGAGAGCTGTCACTGTGCCACAGCTCCACTCCCATGGGACTTACTTCTGAGTAAACAGGCATTGAATTGGGCTGCACTATCAGCGTAAACCAAAGTACTGCAGCCTTATAGAACTGCAGAAACAGACTGTTAGTGTCTCCTTAACAGCTGATGGATTGGTTTCCAAAAATGAACTCATTGTGTGAAAAGTGAGCAGCAGCTCAGCTGGCAGGAGTAACTCTAATTAAAAAACAAGCAACAAGGATGCATCTAAACACAACGCTCAGAGTGGGAAAATCATCCTTGCATCAAACTGCATCACCTTATTGATGTTCAGTTTAATAGATAACTTGAATTTCTTTGTTTTCAAAATGATTTTTTTAAAACACAGTTTTAAATTGGGCCAGAGAGATGTGAATGAGTTATTCTTAGGAATACTCCTCTGGATAAAGCATTCTGTTTAGGATCTCAGTCTGTATCCATCATACAAGAATAAAATCTTGGAGCTAGGGCTGGATTAGACTAACCAAGAGAAAAGTGCTATAAATTACTGCACACAATTATAACCTCAGCATGCAAAATAGCCAGTTTCATCCGTGTTGCTCCAGACATTTTGAAGGAAACAACGTCTTTGATGGTGTGCTGAAGATTGATCTGCACAGTGAGTCACCAAATGTAAATGGCTCACTGTATAGCAGTAGCCAACTCATGCTGTGTTTTAAAGCATTGGTTCCCAACTTCTTTGGTGTGGGGGACCCACAAGTTCAAATTTACTTGGTATGGTGACTCATTGACTTATTTTCACACAAATTTTGGACCATAGGTTTTTTTTTGACAGCCATTGTTTTCATGGATTTTAACTGTAAGTTTGCCTATTTTATAACCATTATTTAAGCTTAAGTTGTCCAAGCAGAAATTTAGGTAACACACCTACTACTATGGAATTTGTTGAAATATTTTTGCTTTATTATGTAATTTATTCATTGCTTTTTTGTGTAAATGTAAGAACACAAGTTTGCAGGTTATAGCTTCATGATCTATAAAAAATTATAGACATAGCAAATGGATCTTGTTGAATCTTGAAGGCTATCAGATCTATTTATTCTTTGGCTATTTAAAATTTAATTTAAAAAAATTGCACCAAGAATTCGTGCATCTCTTCCAAACCCCTGTCAGAATACACCATCCTATCTTTGTCTACTCAGAAGTAAATATCTTTATTCAACAGGGCTTATTCCCAGGTAAGTGGGCACAGAACTATTTTGTAAGAAAGTCCCACTGAATTAAATGGGATTTACTTCAGAGAAACACCGAAGCAGGGGTGGTTTGGGTTCACCTAGGCCTACAGAGCCAGGGTTCCAGCCCCTGCCCACCCCATTTACTACTTCCCTAAAGTCGAGATTGAGAAAGCAAAACACAGAAAAGAGGTTGGGGTTCACTTCGGTTGCTCCCTGTTTAGCTGAAACTTCAAACCTGAAACATGAAACTCCTCTCTTATAAGACTGTTTTAGAATTGAAGGATTCTAAAAGCAGTCCCCATTCCATTTAAGAGAAGAAGAAGAAGAAGAAAAGAAGAGATTGGATTTATACCCTGCCCTTCACTCGGAGTCTCAGAGCGGCTTACAAACTCCTTTCCCTTCCCCCCCTCCCCACAACAGACACCCTGTGAGGTAGGCGGGGCTGAGAGAGCTCTGAGAGAACCGTCCTTGAGAGAACAGCTCTGACAGCACTGTGGCTTGACCAAGGTCATCCAGCAGCTGCAAGTGGAGGAGTGGGGAATCAAACCCGGTTCTCCCAGATTAGAGTCCGTGCACTTAACCACTTCACCAAACTGACTTCATCAAACTAACTTCAGTAGCACATTTCTCTGCTTGGGAAATGCATCTGTTTCTAGACATTAAGCACCCTCGGTTTTCTACTGATCATCAGCTGAGAGCAGTACATCCGATCAGAGTCCCCACATTCTGTCTCTGTCAATGGCTTGTGAGATGCACACATGGGGAGCACATCCAAGAGATCCTTCTTGGATTGAAAAATAATGTAGATTAATATGAGAGGACAATATGAG